CAACACCCCCACAAAACCCACCACTCACAGAGGCTGGAGAGTGTATATTAAGGAGGGGATAAAAAACCCAATTTTTTTAAAATTTGCTAAGGTTGAGGAACATTGCTTTACTTACTTGATGGCACCCAGATGAAGAGGAGTGCAACTCCCATCACCCTTAGCCGGCATTAACCAGCCACTGAATGTATTCTGTAACCCAAAACATCTGGAGAGTACTAAGTTGGGGAAGACCGACTTTGGAGAGACTTCCAAAACCCTCACATGTCGCTCCTTTTGTAAACAGACCCATTCTGCCATATATTCTGTTGCACGTGTGGACTAAGATCGACTAAAGCAATGTTTCTCCAACCTGGCCTCTTTAAGATGGACGGGGAATACTGGGAGTTGACGTCCACCCATCTTAAAGTGGCCAAGTTTGACAAACACTGTACTAAAGCGACACGCGTCTGAACCTTGCAGCCAGCCTATGTTCAGCACGGGCTCCCCCCCGGCTAGGCAAGGAGCCTCGCGTGCCTCCAGGCGGGGGGCTTCTGCAGGAAGGGAGGTGCGCGCCGAAAGGCTGCGCGTCTTCCTCCTCCTGCCCCGCACTCACCGTCGACTCTGCTCGTCGAAAGACACGACCCTCCTGAGCGTCGCGCTCCCAACGCGCCGCTCCTTCTTCCTGCGGCCCATGCCGGCGATGACTTCTTCCGACTCCGCCAGCAGAAGCGCGAACAGCCGGGCGACCAGCGCGCCGCCTCTTCCGCCGTCGCCTCCGCGCTGCGTCTTTGGGGGAAGCAGAAGCCCGCTTGGTGGCGGCTCCGCCTCTGCCTTTCGTCAGTCATTAGAAGAACTCGCCAGCGCTGCTTGTTGGGTGTCACCAGGCGCTTCGTTTTATCACGCAGCCGCTACAAAACCTCCGCCTAAAGACTGCCCAGCAAAATCCTCAGTCGGAGTATCTTGGGGCTGGGACCCTAAATGCGGCTGCCTCCCGGGACAGGCTGTTGTCCCACTCCTTCAGTACGCTTTTGGTTAACGAGCAGTCTGATTGTGTAAATAGCAAAGGCTCTGTTGGCATGTGTAGCTTCAAACAGTACATTAAATCATAATATGATTTTGGTTTAGTTTGTACGAACCCAGCAGTGTGGTTTGCAACCTATGGTTTAAATGGGTGCTTCCGATTGTTTATTTAGTAAACCATGATGAAGTCAACTGGGCTAGCATGTTGTGTGAAAATAGCACATATCTCTATCTGTCATCTGAAGTACGTTTCGGTGGAATATATGGCTAGCTTGCACTTTTAAATGGTTTCCACTTACACCTTCTCCAGTATTTGCAGGTGAAACCGCTCTCTAAAAGTTCACTCACCACTACAAGCCACAATACTGGTCTTGTACATTTGTTATAGAAAAGTATAACAGAATGATGACAAGTAACAGTAAGTTCTCCCTAGGGGAAGGCAAAAGGCAGATTGAGATCTATTAGCATTTTGTTGGATCTTTTACAGCTGATCTGCAAAAGTTTCCAGCTGACTGTTATGAACTGCCCTTGAAGATGACCTGGAAGCTACAGCTGGATCAAAATGCAGCAGCGTCATTAGTAATGGGTGCCTGTTGGCACGCCCGTGTGTCGGCACTGCTACACGAGCTGCATTGGTTGCCAGTCGGCTTCTGAGTGCAATTCAGGGTGCTGGTTACTGATATCCTGTATGGCAGAGGCCCTGGATATCTGAGGGACCACTTATCAGCCAGTTGTTTCTGCTAACCTGGTATGTTCTGGCAGAGTGGATGCACTCCAGATCCCCTTTATTAAATGTTGTCATTTTGTGGGATGGAGGAAGTGTGCCTTTTCTGTTGCAGTCCCTACCCTCTGGAACAGCATCCTCCCAGAGATAAGGATGGCCCCCTCTCTCCTAGGGTTCTGGAAAGCTCTTAAACCTTGGCTTTGGTTCCAGGCCTGAGGTATTGGTGTATTGGGTGGGGTGGGGTGGGGTGGGGTGGGGTGGGGGGGGCTGTTTTGTTTGATTTGAGTCACTTTTAGATTGTTTTAGTCTAGTCTGTGGATACGGTTTTCTGTTTTATCTGTTTTTATGGATTTTGTTTTGTTTTGTATGCTGCCCAGAGTCCATTGGAATTGGGCAGCTATAATAAATGTAAATAAATACATAAAAGTATAAAAAGGATCCCTCTCTAAATTAAGCTGTCAGATTCATTGTTGATCATTGCAGCGCACAACCCTGGGATGTAGTATGTGGCCAGCTTTACCTTTTGAACCGCAATTTGTTTCTGGCTAAACCCAACCACTAATTTGCATGGAGCAGTAGTTGTGGTTGTTCAGCTTTTAGTAAAAAAAAAATAGAGTAGAACCCCAACCCTTGATGCTAGCCTGACTGTGGTTCTACTAGCAGCAAGGTTGGGTGGGAAATTACAGATTCAGTGTGGCACCTCAGTCTCTGACTTTAATGGTCACAAACACATGGAGATTCCTTGAAAATGTGGTAAACTGATCCTGATGCTGAATAGGACCCTGGAGCTACACACCAGCCCTGATGGCTTCTACTGGACAAATTCCAGTCATTGATGCTGAGATGAACTTGCCATTGTGCCTTTTCTTTCAAGTCTTCAACAAGGCAACCGGTTCTGGATTGCAAACATTCAGACAACCTCTGGATAAGAGCAGAATCAGAGTTTTCTGTATCTGATTGCTACCACCTTTAGTGATCATCAGGATGTTTATAGCCCAGATTGAGCAGTTTCATGGAGACTTTCTTTCATGGAAGCAGTAGGCAAAGTGGGTCTGGAGGGTCTTTTAGGGGGCCTAATTCTCATGTGTTGAAAAATCCAGGATAACTTGAACGTGTATGATTCCTCCCCCCCCCTTTTTTTAAATCTCCAAATATGATCCATGGCAATAGGTGACTGATTACAAGTACTCTGAACTTATCAAATAGGTGGAGAAGTTACACACAATATTGTTAATCATGGAACAATCTGCAAAGTGCTTAAACATACTTTCACAAGCTTGTCCTTTAACCCCTTCTGAGATGGTGGAAAATCCGGTTCTGTGGTTAATAGCTGTACTTCCCTTTAAGTTTACACCCACAGGCTGGGTCTCCTGTGCTACAGCGCTCTGCTGTCATTTGAGTGTAACTCCCTTCAGCCTGAACTAGCTTTGGATTACAAAGGCCATCTGTCGTTCAAGTTGCCTTGCAGGGACACGGACTGTTATTTCCTTGTGGCTCTTGCTCTCCCCTGCAAAAAAGAAAAGGAAGAAAAACCCACCTCTCTACCTCTGTCTCATATGCATGTGGTGGAGGGAAAAAAGGCCCTGCTCTGCCTGGAGGGTTCAAAAGCAGCCCAGAAAAAATGGCTGCAGAAGATGAGAAGAATGCAAACCTCCTTCAGGAAGTTTGGAAGAGAGAAGAAAATGCCAAGTGTGCAGATTGTGGGGAGCCTGGTAAATCTCAGGGAAGGGGAAAATGGTGGTGGTATCAGGAAGTGATAACTAGCAAATATAGTCCCTAAAAAAAGCAACTGCAGTAGCTTGAAGAAATTCAGATGGAGGAATTATGCCTGGCACTTAGGACAAGGAAGAGATTGTTAATATTATCATGAGCTTTCTTACATTTGATAATGTCATGGAATGCTGTGTATATATGATACATCAAATATTTTGTTCTTCTAAGGATTATGAATTCTGTAACTTTGTGTAGACAGTAGCCATCTAAGAAAGGAATGTGTTTGCTGCTGTCCCTGTGACTTGCCATTCAATGATGAGAATCTATGGCAGTCCAGATGTTGCTGAACTATAGTTCCAAATGGCCATCATGATTGGCCATGCTTCCTATGGGTGGTGGGACTTGGAGTTCAACATCTGGGAGTAGGTTGGAAGAGAGATCAGTTTCACCACCAAAGAGTAATAGTGAATTAGCTCCATGGAAGATAGAAATGAAGTGGAAGAATTGCAGTGCTACTGTGTGGAGATTGTTGAGGGCCAGGAAAGCATGAACTCATTGGACTTCATTTAAGAGAAGGACTACCATCCAGGAAGAGACAAATATTTGGAGGTGTCCAGTCCTTTGAGGTATTGAGGAAATGGATTGGTTTACTCGGGAAAACCTGGATTTTTTTTCAAATACAGGAAATGATGTAATTGAGAAAACTTAAGCATTGACTGGGGGGCTGCATTATGAGACTACATGCACATTTGAGGTTTAACAAATCACTTGGGCTGGAAGGCTCTAAGGGACATTTGTGCGGGTGGGCCTTTGACCTGGAACTGATGCAGGCCACTGAAAGGTTTACATGTTAAAACAATGGGGACTTATTTCATGAATCTCTTGCATAAGGTATTTTTGACCTTTGATATTACAAACAGAAGCAGCAGGGAACTACCTTTGACATGGTACAGCTTTTTAATCCTGTTTGTTGCATTTTTTACAGTCTGGGCATTCTGGATCAGAAAGGATAGAAACTTAACAGGTTGTACCTTTGATAGGAAATGGAGTTAACTGGTTCTAAAGCCTTTCTTGATACTCTGATATCACCATATTTTTGCCAGCCCCCTAGTTCCCCCAGAGTATAGGGGACTGTTCTGGGATTTTGATTCACTTTAAAAGGATTTGCAGAGATTTAAGACACCCATAATACCCCGTAAAAATATAAATCCCCCAAATCAATTTTTCTTATTTTGGATGCTAGTCTTAAGGCACCAATTTCACCCTTAAAAACTACCCCAAAATAGAAAAAAGGGAATTAAAAAGTTCCCTTTTAAAAGCTCTGCTTATTCCACTGACATCATAGCATTGCTAGCAATGGCCTATGTACCTCCAGGCAAGACTTTGGGAAAGGCCCCAAAGAGGGTCCATCTCAGTTCTAGGCTGATAAATAATCTGAAGGCATTAGTTCAGTGTTTCTCAACCTTGGCAGCTTTCAGATGTGTGGACTTGCTGCCTGGGGAATTCTGGGAGTTGAAGTCCACACATCTAAAAGCTGCCAAGGTTGAGAAATACTGCATTAGGTTGAGGAAAGTTGTTCCAAGTCACAATGAAATATGAACAAGAAGCAACAGTGGTAACTTTGATTGATGGCCATTTTGACCAAAAGAAACGTAGGCTCCCTAAGATTTATTGTGCTCTGCCTCTCGACAATCAATCCACAGCCACTGATGTTCTTTGATTCTGTTCAGATCCTGGCTGGGTCTCCTGTACTTTGGGTATCTTCATCTGTTTTGAGTGCTCAGAAATACACCACAAGATCCCTTACATAAGTGAAGTTAAGTCAGTAAAGAAGCATCGCTGGGAGGAAAGTCAGATGCAGGTGAGTATTATCTTGAGAAGTTTCTTGCCCTGCTATTTGTTTCGGTCATGTATCCATCTCTTTTCCCCCTCTTTTTTCTCAGAGGCATTCTCAGATGGCAGGAAAGGTAGAATTAAATTTTTCCTTAAGTTGCAGCATCAGAGAAAGAGGGTGTATTAGTGGCCTTGCAGAAAGCAGATGTGTCAGTAGCATTGTTGGCATATGAGAAGCAGAATTTGGATATATTCTGCTTCCTTCTTTCTCTGGCAGATTTCAGCTTAGTTAAGAAACTTCTGTAGATCTTTATAATGTGAGCTGAATAATGGTTTGTATTACTGCTAGGAAATTGTGCTGTTTGTCTGGTTGCTAGGAGAATACTATTCCTACAATAGCAAGGATATTGCTTTGCTTGCTTTCCAGCATGCCTGCTTCAGATTTTGGTTTCCTGTAGTTAATGGAAAGAGG